ATATATATATATACTTGTATACGTATTAGAAATAACACGCACATTTTTTTGGTAAATCTTTCATCAAACCGAAATTAAATTCTTTTTTTCCCAACAAAAAATTGATTAAATCCAATAACTTTTTATTTTTTGTTTTGTTTTAATCTTGAATTACTTTGATGGACTCGGAAAATTTTGAAATTGTATTTTGCTTATTCATATTTTAAATGTAATAAGTAATTTTTGATAAGAAAACATATAATTGTTGATAAATTGTCGAACGGATTATAATTGAGTAATTGTTCTTGTTGTTGGACATGTATGTATACGAAGAACGAAATGGAACTATCGAAAAACAATCGTCGTGGAACGTCACAGGTCTAATTATTTGTTTGATTTATCGCATGAGAGAGAGAGAGAGAGATTGTTATCAGACACGCGTTCTTTGGTGCACGGCATCTGATAGATAATATTTTACTGAGCGACTAGTGTGAGTGCGTTCCCATCAATGTTTCATTCTCTCTCTCTCGTCCTCCTCCTCTCGCCAACCCTTTGTCAAAAATGTACGCCAGCGCCGTTGCATCACCGACAACCAAACAACGCACGGTGCAACGCGCATTCCCGATGCATCGTCGGCGGTGCATCGCGACTAGCACGCTCCCGCCAGCAAATTATTTATCGATCGATCTTGTTGTACGGCCACTTTCGAGGCTTTCAAAAAATAATGGCTGAGCCAACCAACGGCCAGGCTAAATGACTGTCAACAATTCCCGGCGTGCCGATGGAAACGACGTTGTGTGTAGATAGCAGTTCCTGTTGCATGCTGATTAATAACAGCACGTGATCGAATATTCATAGAATTTCTGAGTCCATCATATGTGGTAGAATTCGAAAAGGAGCTTGTCTGTTTACCGTACAGTCATATAATGTTGCGTGTCCAATGATCGATCTATACTACTTGAACGAACAATTGTACCTCCAGTTAAACATTACGCGTTCTAGAAATTGCTGGTCAAGAGAAAATCATCTTGTTAAAAGTCATATCTAGATTTACACGAAAAATGTTGTACTGCATTTATTTCACTTCTCTCGTGCGAATAAATTATATAAAATACACTTATACTGTTATAAGTAACGATGTGCGTTTTGCGTAAGTTCTTCATTGCTCCACGCATATTTCGATGCAGAATTCAAAAATTGTTTCAAGCTAAATATAGACATAGTTAATTTTCAGTATGAAATCTTTACACACACACACACACATATATATATATATATATATATACTGAAAAAAACAAGCGCAATGGCTTATTTTAACTGTAGATACAAAAATACATTGAAGAATTTCCTAGACAAACCCAAAGCTGAAACAAATCTTGCCGAAACAAACCGCATATATTTTTTTCAAACTCCAAGAAGCAAACATTTCGATCACGTTACTCTGTTAGTAAACATAAATAAATATAGACTTTGATTTTTTTTTTCTAAAAATGATTTTAGACTTAGCTAACGATCGGTAATTATCTATACGGGTTTACTTATTTTGGGTTTATGGGCAAACGAAAAGAGCAACGTAGAAGACGCTGGGCCGAGTAGCGGATTATCCCTCGGCGTATTCTTGGCAGATGCCGAGGTGAAATCGCGCATAAATTGCTAACGACGCGCACTTTGTTACAAAAGCATGAGCCCGCCGGTCCATTCTGCTACTGCCGTCGGCTTGATTTATCGTACCAACGTGGACAATGCGAGAAATATTCTGGCGTGTTCGCTTCGTAAATCACGGTTCTTCGGCAGTCCATACACCGTACCCCCATAGAGAGGAGGTACTCCCTCTCCCTCTCGCGAAATATCACGGGGGGGGGAGGGAGGGAGGGTGGCCCTTCCCCGTTCTGGCAAATGTATATGCACGCGTGTGAGAGAGAAATGGATAAACGGGAGGACGACGCAAACGGGAGATACACAGTCAATTCGGGATACGCATCCGTAAATCACGGCAGAATCGCATTCGTGGATTCTGTGCTCTCAGCATCGTCCGCCCCCGAATACTGTATTAATTCTTTTTTCCCCGCGGTTATGACACGTGTATACCTTCGGGATTCTAAACGGAACAATGACGTTGTCGCGGTCACTGCGCCTCTTTTGCGCCATATTGCCTCGAACAATGCATCAACGACGCGAAACTTTATTATCGTTTGGCGTTCACGATCGATGTGTCATGTCACTGGAGCATTACGAAAAATGCAATAACTTGTAATTGACAAAATTATCGATTGTCCTCTCATCTTGAATTATCTTACCTGTCGTTCTCTTCTGTATGATCTTCTCCTCGATCAGCGCTCTCACGCTGACGGACGCCGTCTGCAGAGGTGGCCCAACGACCTCTTTCTTCTCGCTCTTCTTGTTCTCCGCATCCTGTAACACGTGATAAAAAAAGATTTTTTTTATTGCGTTGTTAAATTAAACGAATAAGTTGTTAGTCCACGTGATAAAAGCTGAATACTACCACAAGCGTTCTAAATACATAAATTTTCCGCGTTGCTTTCGAATTCTTTGTTTTTTTTTTTTAAATGAATTGGTCATTAATGGAAGGAAAAATTATATACGCGAAATATTGATGTGTCGGATATCTTGTCAACTGATTGTAGTCTAATATAATAAAACTGGGTGTCGTTGTTCGTGTGTGACAATAGGATTTTACTCGGGCGCATCTAGAACTCGTAGTTTAGCTAAAATCCTTATTGAACCCCCGGCCACGAAGAACTCGTGACGGGAGAACCTGGATTAGAAGCTCGAATCACGGGCAAATTGACGCGCGGGATACTAAGGGAGACGTAGGGAGACTACAATGGTGAATAGGAGAAGCAGGAGAGCGGGAGGGGCCGGAGATGCACGCTAATCACTGAGCAAGGCTAATTGAGGCGCCCGTTGGATTATATCGTAATGGAATCTCCGGCGTGTGCGATTCAACATCCTATAATACACCCGGCGCTAAGGAAAGCGCCTAGTTTCTTGATGCCTGCGAAGAATCAAATCAGTGTTCAAACTTGGATTCCGAATCGCGAAATCTCAATACATCGTAGTAATAAAATTTATGTATTTATCATTCTTTATATAGCTTAATATTCGTGCGTGTTGGAGAAATCATTATTTAATAAGGATACGAGCCAAAAATTTGAGAAAAATTATAATTGAAAATTGATTATATAAAATTTATTAAATTTTTTAATAAATATTTGTTTGAATACTAATTATAATAAATATAATAAATATATATACAAAATGTAAATATATATTTATTTGGGACAAGAATCAATTTGATTTAAGTATCACTTTTTTTTATTGCGTAAATATTTCTAAAAATTTGGTAAATTTTTTTTTCAATGTACGAAAAAAACATTTCTTACTTTGCTTAAAATTTTTTCTTAAATCTTAAAATTCTTTTTATCTTCATCTCGTATATACGACTACTAATATTTTCTGATACTTATACTTCGATGCCTTATATTCTGTCCATTATCTAAAATTATATTTCCTTTTTCAATGCTTTTACAAAAGCTCTCAATTACTCAATGCTGCTACATAGCATTTCTAAGACGACATAATACATTTTTTTATCCATCTACGTTGCAATATCGATCGATCAATTGAAAGAACGATAAAAAAAAAACGCAATACACTGACACGACACAATAGCATCTCGCGGACTTATCATCATCGTATCGATTTATTATTATCCTCAAAGCAGTATCTTCGCAAGAACCTTCCCTCTCCACATCCCGCAAGATAAGTCGTTCTTGCTCGCGAACTTACTGTCGCCGCGAGCTACGGAGGCCCTACTTCCTAACTCACTAAGCACGGGAATTCCTTAAAGTCCGTGTAATTTTTTCCCTAAGGCGCCCGCGCGTAAAAGTTATATTACTTAAAAGTTTCCGCGAGTTATACGCACATTGTGCAAAGTGGACCTTGGCGCGACTCGTCCCCACGATATGCAAGCTGGAGAGGTCGCTGCCACTCCAAAGCATTTAGCAAACCGGTGAGTTTCACGGGATACGTTTATAATTAGCATACTAATACTCGAGGGTGTTTCACGCGCATACATCTTCCGCCGCCATTGCCCTTATGTTAGTAACTGGCGTCGATAATATATCTCTCCGGATACATACGTCATCATCGTCGTCTTCGTCGATCCTTAATGGGACGGGAGCGGGCGGCCGGTCGACCTCTCGCGCGGGCGCGACCCCCTCAATTTCCTATCTCCTACTTCGATACGTGTGTAACGCGGCGCACTTACGCACCCGCAGCCGCGTATATATCACGCCTCCCACGAAATTGAACTCTGTCTTTGACGGGGCGTACATCGTTCCGCTCGCTTCATGAATATTGATCGGCGGCCGTTAATACGCGGAATTGATTGCGGAACGTCCGCCACGCCGCGCCGCGCCACACCGATCCGATCCCGAACTCATCAATTCGATCTGTGTCGATTACAGCTACCGGAATTATCTCCAGCGACTACCATCGTGTCCGTGATTATACCCTTGCGAGTTCTTCGGTAACGTTTCCTTTGTACGAATTATTTTTATACTCCGCGAAAAGTGTGTGTACAATTGCGAGCAAAGATTTATCTAGCCCGTCAGCACTTTCTCTTGATACATCGATTTAATTTAATTTCGAATTACTTTTACGTTTCTGCAAAAATATCTCGTACCGTGGAAAAAGACGTGTCTATCGACTTGGTGTTTTTATCTTGGCTGGTCAATATATCTATCGGTATTCTATTTAACGCGCCAGCGTGCAATACAATTTAGAAGAAGCGCATAGGCTATGTCTTATGGAGTATGATTACAAAGGGGGCGATTGACTGAATGAATGACGCTGCCGAGCGTCCTATGCGGCTATTTCCGATATTTCTTGTTCTTATCTCAGCCACGCTAGACATTGATCAATCGACAATCCATAGCGCGCTTACGTTTTCCAACAATTCCTACCTTCAGACGATCAATCGTACTGCACGTCAACTACTTACAGAAAATAAATCTGAAACGCGTCGGCGCAGATTTATTGCTGACGATTTATCGCTCCGAAAAATCATTCGTCACGCGACCGTACAATGTAATGAAAAACGGCCATCGGCTCGTGGGGGTGGTAGCGTGTGCCGCGTGCGGCATATATGCGGGCGATTCCTCCGAAAATACAACGAATTAGGGCGGCCTATAATTCGCCCCTAAAGCCCACCACCATTACACGGCTATCCGCGGGCTCGTGGAATCTCCTGGAAAGAGAAGCGCATCCCCCGCGCACACGGAGATTAACAGCAGATGCCACTTAATGAACCTGAACGTGGCCACTAACTGCTCTCATCATCGGACACGCGTCCTGAACAACAACTAACGCGGTTACACGATGGACGAGACTCTGTCTATACAACTCAATGAGTTTTCCCGTTTCACCCCTCTCACTTCTCCTGCCCCTCTCTCTCTCTCTCTCTCTCTCTCTCTCTCTCTCTCTCTCTCCCGTGACGTGCATTAATCTGGGCTATATATCCACGAATCCAAAGGGCCATCGAAACTTTTCAATAATTCCGTGCGACCGTGGGCAAAAAGCTCGGCGATGGGAAGTTGGCTCGCTGGCAACCGGATAGAGCTTTCGCAGTAGTGCGGCGCCCGTTGGTCTCTCACGTTGGTCGAACATGGACGAGCGAATACGCGGAGGAAGGAGACGAGAAACGAGGGGGTGTTCGAGGGGGTGGACGTAGGGCAAAAGGAGGAGGAGGAGGCGTATCGCGGTGAAAACTCGGGTGCTCGAAACGAGAGCAGCGCCGTTGAAAACCCCGGCCGTAACCAGTCAGATTCAATCTGCATAATGGAGAAAGCTCGAGACAATGTTTGCACGGGGCTCTCCGCGCGTGCAATGTTTCCTCCCGTTCCCCTCCCCCCCCTCTCTCTCTCTCTCTCCTCTGAACCGTTAAATCGTATCTCTCTTGCTGTTCCTCTCTTTTCCATCCCCGAGACACCAGCGGACTCGCTGCGGATTGGTTCGGGGTTCGGGTGGAACCAAAGAGCTTGTTAATGGGTTCATTTGGATTCGATCATCGCCTTACCTTTCCCATCCACCGGTGGTAACGTCTCCCTCGCTCGTCTGCGTTTTATCTCGTCTTCCCTGATTTACTCGTCGTCGTACCCGCCTCGTTCCAATCTTTACTCTATCGAGTCGTTACTGAGCGGTCTTCTCATCCGCCATCGCTTACGTAAAGGTGAATGGAATAAGGAGGAAAGAAGGACCGAGTCACCAGTAAGCGACGGCAGAAGGTTAGATGGTCGTTAAAAATGTTAATTGGAAAATTAATTTGACGTACTCATTTGTCAAGATTGCACAAGAGCGTGAAAGATAAAAGGGAAAGTAGCTCCAGAATTCATAAGGACGAATTGAAAATAAATAATTAAATACGATAATACATTTTTTTTTGCATTCTTAAAGGTGTTTAAATTTTGAAAATGCAATTCACGTTTATCTTTATATTCACACAAAATATTCGATGCACGTATATTTGTATATGTTAAGTTTCTTTTTCTTACAATACACTTCTCGAGCTTTCATATTTTCACAATCGCGCGATAAAGTCTTATGGGTTGGAAAAAAAGTCTCGATTTATGTGTGACATATTCAATATGTCGATTATTATTCTTCTTGCCTTTTAATGCCATCTGTCAGCTCAGTTTATTCCCACTCGTTCCGTAGTACCGATTACGTCATCGTCTTTCAATTGCAGAATAAAGAACATCTCCAGTCCGCCATTCATTTTTCCCCCTGCCTACCATCCAGAATCGAGTGAAAAAGGGAAAACTTTTGTCCGACGAGTTTTTCACGACGTACTTTTCTAAACGACGTGGCCTTCGTTAAGACATTTTTAATCAGCGGAAGAAGAGCTTCGAAAAGACGGAAGCGGCGAGGGGAGAAAGGATTTTCGCGAAATCGCTGATCTTTCTATTTCAACGGCTGCAACAACGCCTTACTCCTCCTGACCTTATTAAGAAAACCGCTGTTCGCATCCTTCCTCCGTCTAGGAATAGAAGAGATGAGAAAAGGTAAGACGCAAGGAGGGAAAGGTGTGGTGAAGTCGCGCGGATCTCGAAGGGCGATTTCCGCAATTTCTCTTATATCACTTTTTACGTCTTTTTTGCACCCTCAACGCGGCGATTATCACCTTGAGGATGCATCCCCGAGTATCGCGTTCCTCGAGGCCCCCGAGACGACGGCGGCAGCTTGATGAGATTTTCATAGAAACGCCGGTTGATTATTCGGATGCAAGATGCGCTCGCGCGAATTCGCGCGATTGCGAATTCATATGGTGATGCCAACCGTCGGCGCGATATAACTTTGGAACCGCGCGCGGAGATTTTCTCGAATATTAAAGTTTTCGCGCCGAAAATGAAGTTTTGGACGGCGCGGTCGGGCGGATGCAAATAAAATCAGCCGCCGCGAGATGAGTTCCTTTATCCTGAAGAAATAAATTCGGCTGCGACCGAAAGGAAGTGTCAAGCTACAACGTATGATCTTACATTGTCACATTACACTTCGCGACGTAGACGACATTTGAAAACAATATTTTTTTATATAATTGTAATAAAATTGCTATCCGATAGTTTTCCTGACAAAAGAAGATTTAAGTTTTCTTGAATAAAATAAGAAAAATTTACAATATAATGAGGGCATGATATAAAGTTTAATTTTTATTTACTAATCAGATATATCGGATATTAATTACGCATTCACTTAATTTTAATTATTTTGCTGAGTCTGGGATTTGAAATGCATTATATATGGTTTGATTCCGCTCTATAATCGCTATTCTTAAAAAAAAAAAATATATATATATATATAGAGAGAGAGAGAGAGAGCAAAATTATAATATAAAACGTTATTCGAATATTTTAGAGCGTTAAGCTCATTTTTTATTAAGCTCTTAGCTTTATTCGCATAAATACGTAAACAAAAGCTTCTTCAAGCGTTCTCCTTGTCAAATATTTACCTTTTTAAAGTAACCGCCGTGGAGTCGCATATGGCCATTAAGGGCCGGTATGTTTTTAAATTTTCGATGGCACAGATTGCACTCCACCGGTTTCGGTTCCGTTTGGGTCTTGTTGGAAGTAGTGACCGTTCCGGGGGAAGACGAATTACCGGGAGATGGACTGCCCTTCCCTACATTTCCGCTTCCCGGCGAGCCGACCTGCTGTTGTTGCTGTTGCTGCTGCGCCTGCTGCTGCGCTTGCTGCTGTTGTTGCTGTAAGCGAGAAATAAATCCTCTCTTAATATATAAAGAAAGATTAAAGAAAATATTGAAACATTTACAACACTACAGAGTGTCTCAAATATCTCGAAATTTGTCCGCGTCAAAATGTTTAAAAAAAAAAACTTATATTATTTTAACCTTTAATTGCCATTGTCTCGCAGACACGGACGGAGGTGTGGATTCTTTCAATAAAATAATAAATAAAGATTTAAGTAAAACAAATGTCACGTTAATAATTTTTTTTAAACATAAAGTCATGTCTATTAAGCAACAACGCAACAAAAATATAATGAAAGTAACTACTTAAAGAAACAAGACTTTTTAAACGGTGCTAGTGTTAGACTCGACGATAATGTTAGTATATGACAAAGGAGGCTTTTAACGGTAGTTAAAAGGTTAAATCATAATTACTATTACTTAATATTAAATAATAAATGATTTAAAGGGATGCAACAGATGTCGCATATAATTGCTGATGATACTCAATCCTGTATTTCTACAGAGAAGGAGAGAGAGAATAGCGTTTATAAAATATTCGCAACGTAACGACCTCATTATTTCCGACGGTGGCACATAACGAGTAAAGACTAGAATAAGCGTAAGACCGAGAATAATTGAACAAAGGGAGAATTTCCTTTATGGTAGCTTCTTCCTTTATGGCGCACCCTACATCTGGCTTAATGTTGCTCTTCTCTTGAAGTCGCAGAAGATTTTTAATGGCAACGCACGAAGCTTTCCG